CTCCTCCAACAGACTTCTTCAGTCTGAGAGTTTCAGGCAAAATTCAGGCTTTTAAGCCTGAATTTTAAGTCTCTTGGAGAAGAGACGAAACGTTTCATTAGAGAAGAACCCGTCCAGAAGACCTACACAATTTTTTTCTTTTTAATCAATCAGAGCCATTGGACAAACATTGGGCATAGCAAGCAAAACAACCTGGAATGTCCTGAATAAGAAAGAAACTACTGATGTACTGAGCAGCACATGTCCAACAGGTTGGCCAAGGAAAACAACAGTAGTTGATGACAGAAATATTGTGAGAGCTGTGAAAAAAAAAGTGCAGGAGTGAAGGTATCACAATCCAATGTTTGAAGAAGACTCAGAGAACAGAAATAGAGGACAAAGATGCAAACCACTCATTACCAGTAAAAAGAATCAGAAGGCCAGACTGAAATTTACAAAGTACAGAGATGAGCTGRAAAAGTTCTGGAAGACAATCTTACAGACTGATGAGACCAAGGTTAATATTTACCAAGCATGGTGCAGGTAATGTCATGGCTTGGGCGTGACTGCTTGTGGAACAGGTTCATTAATATTTATTGATGATGGAACTGATGATGGCAGCGGCAGAATGAACTCTGAAGTGTTCAGAAACATTTTGTCTGCCAAATTACAGAGAAATGTATCCAAACTAATCAGGAAGAGTTTTATCATGCAGCAGGACAATGACCCAAAGCACACAGCCAACAAAAGGACAAACAAACAACAAAGCACTTCATCAGGAGAAAAAAAGTGGAAGGTTTTAGATTGGCCAAGTCAATCACCTGACCTGAACCCAATAAAGCATTTCACCTCCTGAAGAGGAGGCTGAAGGGAGAAACCCRCAAAACAAACAAGAACTGCAAGAATGTGAGGTAAAAGCCTGGAAAAGCCTCACAATTTTTAAATATTGGTGCATATGCACATGGACTAAATGTATTTCTTGTAATTTTTTTAATAACTCCTGTAAAATGCAGGCAGCCAGTAAAAGTATGTATGGCCCAAAAGCTCTCTCCTATAGCACACAACACAAAAGTGTTGTACTTAAAGGGAAACATGATTTAAACACTTCTAAAACCCACAGCCTGAGCCACATTTCAGCATGAACAAAACTGAAAAATGTCCTTTTTCATAGCCGATGAGAAACAAAGACACATGCAGGAGTTCAGCGCTGAGCGTTGTAATGAGGACTTTATTTTGTGCAGGAGCAACCATTGCTGCAACAAAAGCTTTGGACGAGCCATAAAAATCTGGGATTTACAGCAGATTTTTGGCAGGAAAATGTCATTACCTCTTTCACCCTGTAGGATAAGAAAGAGCAGAACAGCTTCCACGCCGGTGAATGCAACACCAGTAAAGCATTTACCGGTATACAAGGAAAGCCTGTCAAACCAACATGAAAGCTTATGGGCAAAGACTTGCTTTTTGGTGACATAGTGTTAGAAACATTATCCCCCCCCCCCACCACACACACACACACACACACACACACACACACCTGTATGTAAAATATGGTTGTTTACTGCCAAAAACTGCCAAAGCAAATGACCTTTTTGTTTTGACGTAAGAAAAAAAATGCTAGGAAATAAGAGCTGAATTTAAAAAGACTTACAATAAAATTATTCATAAGTTTTTAAAATGAGGTAAGACATAAAAATTTGCAATGGCAAATATGCAGGCATTTTTGTGTGTGTGTGTGTGTACATGTTTGTTACCTGGGATGATTTTTGACCATTTTCTACAGCGTGGTGAGGACCCACTGGGTCAGGACTAAGGTGTTAAATTAGTTTAGGTTTAGTGTCAGGTGTATACTGGGATGGTTAGGTGTAGGGTAAAAGGTCAGGGTTAGTTTATAGAAATGACTAGTAAATGAATGGAGGTCAATGCAAAGTCCCCATGATGATAGAACACATACTGTATGTGTGTGACTGTGCATGTTTGTGTGTGTACTTCCATTTGTTAACTTTTAGGACAGTTTCTGGTATACACACCCACCTTGTCAAGACCATTAGTCCATATGGGGACCAAAGACAGGTCCTAATATGGTAGAACTCCATTTTTGGGCCGGGGTTAGATTTAGGACCTTTGTGTGAATTGAGTTTAGGTTGGGATAGGTGTAGGATCAGCTATGTACTGGAGTGGCTAGTTTTGGGGTTAGGGGTCAGGGTTAGGCTATGGAAATGACAGAAAATGAATGAAAGTCAATGAGCAATCCAAATAAGGACTGAAAAACAAACTGTGTGTGTGTGTGTGTGTGTGTGTG